GTGCCGGGGTATGAGGTACAGGACTGCCTAGCGAAACAACGAGCCAAAGCACACATAAAGCGGATCCTAAATAAACGGTTAAACAAAATGTGCAAAAGGCACTGGATGGTAAGTCCAGGGCAGAGTAAGGCCAACGATTTATCTGTATTTCAAAGGAAGCTTCAAAAATCATTGCTGATTTCGTAGTTTAGTTAAATAAAAATTATAGTAGTTTCTTAATACCACACAAAGTTTCATTATAGCCAGAGTATAAGGTTTCGGATGGTTTCAGCCGCTTCTGCAAACAAATTTTGCTTTGACACAGCATTCAGTTTAAGGCTCAATGTAAAAAAAAAAATATTATTTAAAATTACTGACCTAATGAATTCTCTCTGTAATATGCGGTATTAAAATTCATATACTCATATTTGAACAATACAACGATTCAACCCATACGTTTCTTAAGTCAGTCCTAAATTCCCTCAAAATTTCTTGTTCCCTACAAAGGGATTTGCAAATCTCTGCGCACCTACACATGTGCATATGTAACAACAAAATGTCCATATGCAATTTACAAGCATTAGTGCAGATGCCTCTAAAGCCAAATCGCATAATTATAACGATCTCAAACCGATACACAGCCAACAAGCACACTCTTGTGGTCTGCATACATACATACATATATGATGACACTTGCAATCTACTATCTATGTATGCAGACACGCTTGAAACCCATCAAGGATTTGTGATGTGGCTACCTTTATTATTGTTTTGCGTGTCTCAACAATGGGAAGGCTTAGATTCTCAGCTCCTCAATGAATCGGCAACATTCGAAAGCATGTGTGGGCTCGTATTTGTACGTGAAGATGGCAAAAACCATATCATTTATGTATGATGACCACATTAATGTATGCATATGCCTGATATGGAGGACATCTATGTACCTGCATGTCCAACACATGGAAACGGCACTAATCACAGGCATACACATTTGCTGCTTTTTGGAACTTCAATTCCAAAATTGTAATATGTATATATACTAGGGTGCTAAACAAAAAAGGATAGTTTTTTTTAAGTGAAACTTCTTTAGCGTCGGTTGGTTGGTTTTAAGTAAATTGGCAAATTCAACGGAAATTGCACACGGAAATGGTGCAACGGAAATGGGTGCGGCTGAAATAAGTGCTTCTTGAGTGTAGTATTAATTTCACAAAAACTTGCCAATAAAAGGTTAAAGAATAACACTTAGGAAAAGGCCAAAACAAGAATGAAAGAAAAGGTGTGTACGTACATAGATAAAGAAAAGGATAAAGGCAAAGGTAAAAATAAAAGCATAAACAAAGATGCGTAAAGGTAAGGCAAACATGAAGAATTTAATAATTAATTTAAACACTTTACTTATGTATATAAGGGCAAAGGTGAAGGGGAATATGTAGATGAAGAAAATGATAAAAATAAAAGTAAAAACAAAGATAAATATAAAGAAAAAAATTACGATGAGGATACCGATAAAATTAAAGAATATAGAGGAAGAAAAATTAAATAAAGTTAATTATCGAGAAAATGATATAGAAAGAGACACAGAGACTCAATCTGCGAACTATTTACTTTGGGGTTTTAGAGATTTTCGGGATACTCGGGATTTATCGATATAAAAATCATTTTTTTTTTTATCGATTTTGTTATCGAATTTGCTACCGATAACTTTGGAACTTATCGATATAAAAATCCGCATTTTTATCGATTTTGTAATCAATATTTTAAACTAATTTGTTAAAGATATTTGTTATCGATATTGTTGGTTTTGTTATCGATATTCTTATCGATTCTGTAATCGATGCTTTTGTCTATTTTATTATCGGTTTTGTTATCGATTTTTATATATATTTTCATCGATCTTGTTATCGATATTTTTATCGATTTTGTTAGCGATATTTTTATCGATCTTGCTATCTATATTTTTTCGATTTTTTTATCGATTGTGTTATCGGTTTTATTATCGATTTTGCTTTCAGTTTTATTATCGATTTTGTTATCGATATTTTTGTTGATTTTGTTATTGATGTTTCTATCGATTTCGTTACTAATATTATTATCGATTTAGCTATCGACATTTTTAACGAATTTTTCATCGATTTGTTATCGATATTTTTATCGGTTTTGTTATCGATATTTGGTAGGATGTTACTATCGATAGAGTATAAAGATAAAAATGACGATAAAGGAAAACAGAATAACGTAACTGTAATTAGAACGAACAGGAGTAGAGGTAGGAATCTAGAAAGAAAAAAGACAAATGTATATTGGTTATGAGACAAAATAGATATGTTACGTAAGTTTTGCTTCTCCAGTGTGGCCTAGGCACACTTACTTTTTTTAATTTTGAAAATAAAAACATTTAGAGTTCTATCAAGCCGATCAAGGTTTTCCTTATAATAACACCTAATTGTTTATTTAACCATTTCTTAACACTAACTATTTGTTATAGGCTCCCCAAAAAGACCAAAAAATGCAATGGGGACCCCATAAAAAATGTTTGTATTAAAATATGGTAAAATAAATAACCGGATAATATTTCTTACAGTCTTTTGAATAGCAAGGGAGCTTTTTGATCAAACAATAAGAATTCTATACCATATCCACAAAAACTTTCTTCCCGGTATAAAATGATCGACTTGTAAATATTTTCGTATCTTGAAATATGGGTTATGTTTCTTTTCGATACAATCCTAGACGGCCAGAGCATTAAAATACCGACTTTACTTTTTCCCGTGCATCTTTGGACCACCCTAAAACATACACACATATGTATGCGTACGTGTGTATTAGTTATTCCTTGTGGTTATACCCAGCAACAACATGAAAGTATTTGTTGCCATTGTTGCTGTGGCTTAAACTATGGCAGTTACTATTATTTGATTCTGTTTTTGCACTTGTATGATCACTTGTGCCTTTACGTGATTTGGTGTCTATATGGACACTCAAGTTTGCTTACACACGTAAAATGGTTAAGTGATTACGTTATTACGTACATTGTCTTTTGGTTGTGAACTGAGCTAGCAATGTTGCTCTAGTGTTTGCACATTTTCTTCCACACAGTTATGCACATTTATATGTACATAAGTATGAATATATTTGATGTGAGTTATTTTGTGGTGTCTGCAGCACAGGAAATTCAATGAAATCGTTGACGTATGTACATAAGTTCGCTTGAGTGAGCCACAATGTAAACGGGCATCATATGCATACGTATCGAAAAATAATGAACTATACGCATTCTGATATTCAAAAAAAAAAGGCTTTTCGAACTTTGAATGATTCTGCGTGAATGGTTTGCCAAGTGTTTTAAGCCGCTCTTTGCAAGGCCTAAGCACTCGTACAGAAAATGTTTGACTGCAACCTTTAAGTCGAGGACCCTGCAGCTGGGCAGGCGGCTGAGTTTCGAAATCTATAACTGTAAAACTGTAACTGATAGAAATGTCCAATATGCGCACTGGAACTGAGTTGCGCAAATTGAGCATATCCATAGATTACACACAAAAAAATTAATATATTCGCGAAATTATGGGCAAATTATAGTAGAACTGCATACTTAGTTTTTCTCTCTAGCGTCATAATTTTTTAAAGGACTTTGGATCTCAAAATTATGTTTATTTCTAAAAATGATTTAAAAAATTCAGTGCAATGTAGAATAAAAATAAGGGTATCAGATATAAGAAAAAAATTTTGTAGAAAAATAACAGAATACATTTTTTGGTGCATAAGTACGAATGGGTATGTAAATGGGTATGTATGGGAATGGAAATGTTCTTTACAAATTTTGTCCTTAAAAATCCTTGAAAATTTTTAATATTTATTTTTAATTTAATATTATTGTTTAAGGAACACATCATCGAATTTCGTCCGGCAAACGTTATTAATTTAAAAAGATATAATTTATTAAAATCGCATTTAAATACCTATCCGTCCTTGTACAACAAAAAAAAACTGTATTGTTTTTAAAAACAACAGAATTTTCTCTTGCATTTGGTACCCATATTGTTATTCTAACTGCACTGTTTTTTTTTAATTAATCATATCTTTAAAATTTCAAAACCTTTTGAAAAAAATCCTAATGCCAGAGTGAAAAACTAAAAACGTTATTTTACTTTACATATTTGGCCCATAGTCTCCTGGGTATATCGATTCTTTCGTGCGCTTTGAATTTTTTTTTTTTGTTTTTGTCGCACGGTGTTTTCGTTTAAATGCTTTGCATTAATTTATTTAGGAAGCCTTTATGTACCTAACTTCCTTCTCTATACTTCACTTCTCAGCGCTTCCATGGTAACTTTTAGTTAAATAAAGCTTCAAATTGAGTTACCCAATAAAAATGCCTACATCCATTTCGAATGCCATTTTTAATTTCCCAAGAAGGTCCTTCCCAGAAGCATTTCCCAGCGCTGTTTAGTTATTATAACCATTTAACTTATTCAAATGTAACGAAAATTTTCCGACGGAGCTATTTAATTTTGTCCTATTGTATGGACAATTTTGTCACAGTGACAATTGTCAGCACTATTGTCGACAATATTCTAGTGCTGTCCCTGTGGCTTTTGAAAAATTGTCACAGTTGCCTGCAGGCATCTAGGAAATACAAAGAAAAGAAAATATCTCCGACAATTATGGCTATGAAATTTTCTGAAAAATCGACAATTATCGCAGCTGTTACTTTTATAAATTAGGCCCCTGGTGTTAACCTAATAGTAGGCCGAGTAAAGGCATTAATTTACTATGGATATAGATTTTGTTTTATTACTATAGCACAGAATAATATACTATTAAATATAATGAAAATAAGTGTACAATATTTGGTCATATTTCAGGGCAAAAGCCGATCATAAAACTCTACTAAATACTTATACTGAGTCGTTGTTTCTTGGTTAGAGTTAAAACTTTAATCCAAAAGATATTAAAAATTAACTATATAAAAATCGGTTTATCTCCTAATCTACGAATCTATACACTTGCAATTTAGTTTTGCTTACCTTTTTCGTCCAATATATCGATGGTACAGGATTTCCAGACCCCTTGCACTCCAAAGTGATGGGTCCACCCTTGCGTGCTTGCAGTTGACCAGAGGTGGGTATAGCGCGTACACTTGGCGGAACTGTGAGAATAAAATGAAAATTTAGAAAACAATATAATATTTAAGTTAAATAATATTTGTCTTCTCGTTTTGAGTATTCGAATTATATATAAATAAATTTTAGTTTCTTGTTTTAATGAAAATTCGCAACTGGTTGCCTAATAGCCTATTTCCACCAAAGGCTTAACCGCAGTTAAGAGCTCAGATAAGTTTCAAGAATTTTAAAATGGGGTAAGGGCTGGTTTTAATTAATAGGTGGAATAGGCATAAACTGCAGTTAAGGCTTGGTGGAATCAACTATGTATTCGATTGCCACTAGAATATCAAAGTTTTGCTGGTAGACAAATAAGTTGATTGCTGGCTAATAAAACTATTACTTAAAGTTTGTAATTGTTGCATTGCAGCGCGTTGGGCAGGAATTAACAAAGACACGCATTATTTTGCATTGACGGAAATTTGCACGTCCTGAAAGCCATATAAAATATGTCTACATAGCTCTAGGCTTTTAGCGACTTTGCATTATTGAAGCCATTTCATTATAGACTGGTTTTTCCATAAAAAAAAGCAGTTGATTTTCTGAAGGAATTTTTTCTTATGGCAGAAGTATACTCGAACCTATGAGACATTTTGTATAACTACTCGGCTAATACTTATCCAATAAAATAATGCTAAAAACCTAAAAAAACTTTGTCACACGGACGAATATAAAAATCAAATCCTTTTGAGTTTTGCTATTAAATGCATACTGGGTTTCTGGCATGATACAATTTTCCAGGTTGAAAAATAAATCTTACTAAAAAGCAATAAAATAAAATCCTGCCTCACTAAATATTTTTTGGCTAATTAATTTTGACACCAGAAAGACTATCTCCACAAGAAGCTAATCTTACAACATAAATATATAGCGGTTTTTGTAGTATTTCCTTACAACCTTCCATGGCAATTTCTCCGAATAAGGTTAAACTCAACCACGGATAAATTGTGCTTATTTATTTATTTGATGGCATTAAAGATAGAAACCACAACAACACGTTATATGATGAACACAATACCACAGTGGGCAATATTTACATTGTTGCAACATATTGCCCAAAAAATTGCTAAGTTCCATACATACACATACATATATATAAATACATGCATACATATGTTGTTGTAGTAACTATCGCAAATACCAGAATAATCATACATATAAATGTAATAAGCATTGTCTATTGTGTGCACACCGACTTACCCAATATTTCCACAGTGTGTACTTGATCACGATTTATTTTGTCACTGATTTGACAAACATAATCCCCAGCATCTTGCGGCTCTAAATCTGATATCTCTAAATTATAACCATCTATCAGTCTTATGCGCTCATCCCTTGTCACCATTATATTGGAGGCAGTGAGCACGTTGCTGCCGCGTCGCCACAACAAAACGAAATTTCCTGAAAAGACACAAAATATATGTGGGAGCTAAAATAAGAACGAATGTAAGTGATATGCTTATAATATACACATACATACATACATAAATATGTACATATGTTTATATTTACATGGAGGCATAGAGTACAATTGAATGTCAGTGGTAAAGTTGCGGCTGGTAAGTACGACCTTGTATTTTTACTTTTTTTTTTTGTGTGACATCAGAGAAAGTGGAAAACGTGATGTGGTATAAATACTTAAGTTAAAAAGTGACACAATAAAGGCAAAAAAATTGCAAAAGTATGTTTTGTTAAAGCAGAAAAGTGTTCTTTCAAAAAAAGTGTCGTGAAAACCAAAACGCGATATATTCCGGCATTAATACCAGTTTGGTGTCGAGCATCAACCACTGAATATTGTATTTGATTGGATAAAGCAGGGCATAGCGCTGGCGAGATATGTGAACAGAGGAGTGTGTGGTAGGCACTATGCGTAATCATTTATACTTTTATGACTCTATCAATAGTTTAACAGCCGCTTCATAGGCTTTCAGTCTATCTTCCATTCGGAAGTAGTTTTTATAGAAGAAACAGTAGGAAATGGGGGAAAATACCAGTAAGTATAAAGCGCAATCACGATTTTTTAAAGTTTGGGTTTAGGAAATTGCACACGAATATAGTGAACGATCCCACCCCCTTCGATTGTTCTGTACCGAAAAATTTTATATAATTTTTTTTAAAATTTTTTTTGTCAAATAATATTTAGAGGTATGTTTTATGAGGAAAACCAACTTTTCGTAGAAATGGTTTAGAATTCTTGAAAATCAAATTCGGTTTCTCTTTTATACCATTTCCAAGAAAAATATTTTTTCCGCCATATAAAATACATGGAAAACTTTGAGCGAACTCTAAATATTTTTTCATTTCGAAATAAAAAACCGGGGATATATTCTTTCGATTAAGACCAATTTTAGGGATGAGAGCATTCAAATTTTGGCTGTACTTTTCACACATGCATTTGTTGGACCATCCTAATGAACACACTGACTGGTAGTAAGTAAGATATGGAATATCGGGAATTTAAGGTTTGTGTTTGTATATTCGAATGAGTAAACTGAAAAATATAGAACAATTTTGTTAACATATTTTATTTTAAAACGCTTAACATTTATTTTACAAAATTGGCAAATAAATTTTCTCCTTGGTCATTGTAACGTTTTTGGATACAACGAATTTTCTGACCATAAGTTGAAATTTTTTAAAAAATTGTTCTTATAGTTGGGATGTCCAATCGAGTTCACATTTCTAGTTATCGAGCCCTAATCGCCAAAAATACGTAAGCGACATTTATACCATATTGTTTCTATTGACCAGTACTCCGTTATGGTTGCTACAAATCATAATACCTCTGGCCTTGATCTGCTAAGCAGGTCCAAGGTCTTTGTCCTCTTGTAGTGGTGCCATGGTTCTCTCGATACCTTACATGTAACTATATTTGACTACTTCTGTCTACCCAGTTCAAGCAAATGTCTGTCTTTGGACTATTTCAGGGGGCAACCCAGTGCCACCGCTTGGAATTCATCCAAACCGACTCCTGTCTTCGCCAGCTCATCCGCCTTCTCATTGCTTTTATGTTCCTATTTTCGGTAACCCAGAAAAGAGAGACGGTAGTTGACTGAGACACTGAGCTAAGTATCACTTTGCACTCCCTAACTAGCTTGGATTTTGTAAGCGGTGACGCTACTGCTAAAAGCGCCGCCTGTCTCTCAGAATAAATTATTGTTTACTCTTGTATCCAACTCTATTACCTAGAATTTCACAGGTTTTTAGCAATTCCTAGAACTTGCGCTTGGAAGATGCTTGTATTATTTGCCAACGGCAGAGACAGTTCCGAAAGTTCCGAGTTCCTTGGAGTTTACACTCGCTCCTACACCGCAATTTATCTTGGATCCGTCGGTGTATAGACAGATCGCCTCTCGGTCGACCACTCGGTCTTTTCTCCAAACCCTTTTGGATGAGAATAACACTTTCACGTTACAGCTGAAGTCCAAATTTTGTACCATATACTCTTAAATTCGATTTAATTGACTCTGTGAGTCTGACGTCCGATTTCATAGCTTGAATTGTGGTAATTTGTGTCTGTTTGTTAAAAAAGTAAGTTCTGTCTTGGCTGGGTTCGCATTAAGATCGCTTCTCGCACTGCAGGCGTGTTGCTTTTCCAGGGCTCTTTAAATAATTTCGCTAACATTAGAGAGGAATTGGCCTATGGCTGATATTACAACATCATCCGCCATATGCCACAATTTTGACGCCCCTCTTTTGAGTTCTATCAGTATGCCATTCAGGGCTATCACTCATATCAGTGGTGAGAGTACATCGCCCTATGGTGTGCTTCTATTCAAATGATGGGTTATTTATCGCCTGAATGATTCTATTGACCAGCATCGATCTTATCCATCTACAAACACTGTCGTCAACATCAATATATCTCAAAGAGTCTATGATGGTGTCAACCTCAATGTTACTAAATTCTGACTCGTTGTCAAGAAATACCGCCAGAGTATATTACAGAGTATGTAGTTTTCATGAAATCTCTCGTAGCCTATACAGCTCGGTTCGACATCATCTACACATATTTCGGAGGCAAAAAGACAGGTATAATTTTTGTTCGTCGCGAAGGGGTTCTAATTTTAAAATACTTACCAAGCCGCCTAACCCTTTTAGACCCTGATGCATCAATTAAGCGGGTTGGTTCAAATTCCAAATACAGACTATGCTTCGTAGAGCCACTTCTCCTCGCGATATCAAAAGCGACTTTAGAATCGATTAGAAGTTTATGTGGGTCAATTTGATAACCTAGGCTTCAGGACTTCAATCATTCACATAGGACCTCAAAGTGTAAAAAAGGTTTTTTCTGGGATAATTGGCACACCCAGCGGGATTGCTCTGCTTGCGGATTGGGCAAACTACTCTGGGGTTCCATTCTCCGCGCATGGATTTAGCTTAGCCAATTCTGCTTAGCAGCTGGTTCTCGCCTGAGAACCTCTTCGCCGACAAACAGCTCAGGTAGGTATTATGTCCGAACCAGAGGATTTGTCTTTTTTAAGCCGCCTTATTGTTGTTCTCAACTTATCTTAGTCTAGAGCTTCACTCTTGAGGAAAATTTCTTCAACGTATATTTCCTGTGTACTCAGTTCTTGTCTTGAAACGAAGACTGCTACCCTATTATAAACGAATGGTTTGAACTTGAGCAAACATTTAAAGTACACGTCCTTTTAGGTGCCAAAATCGTCAAAGAAATATTTTATTATTCACCTTATTAAATGTTTAGTTTAAGTCTCCTTAAGCTAAAAGGGATTCATTTTATTAAGCTGATTTTTGGTGACGACCCCCAAAATGAAGTACTTAAACAATTTTGCAAAAAAGTGAAAAAATTTTTTTCACATTACCTGCCAGCGCAAGACACAACAGCACAAACAGTAATAATAAAAACAACAAAAACGCTTAAAAATTTTGCGCATAAAATGTGCTGTGACCGCAAAAGGCATGCACGTAAGCACACGCGTACGTACACACACACACACACACACATACATTTTGAATTCGCATATGAAGTTTTCACCTCAATGAGCAGAACCGAATTACATGTAGTTGCAGAAAAACAATATGGGAGCGCCTTTTTAACTTTTCATTATGTCAATGTTCAGGTTATACGGGGCGTGTACGTGATCTGCAAACAACTACATAAGCAGTGTTGCCAGAACGTTTTCAGAGAAAAGGCTAAATGGACAAAAAAATGAAGCTATAAAAAGCTAAATTTAAATTTTTAGTTACGGCTAAGAAGAATTGCTAAATTAACAAATCAAATATTTTCGTTCATTAGAGTGTCAATGTTTAAGGTAAAAATAATGCTTTCTTTTAAGGAACATCTTATTTTGTACTCAAGGAAATATATTTTTCATAGCCTCAAGAAATCTAGGCTGCTTAAGACAAAGTTTTGACTCCACCTCATTGTTCAGTAAACATTGGCGATTCAGTGTGACATTTAGCACCATCGCTGGAAAACCAATACTTTAGTATCCTCCCAATTAGCTAACCAAAGAGAAGGTACTCCCACCTGGCCAACTTTACCGCAACGAGATTACCTGCAATATAAAAATGGTACCCAAATGAGTCAGACCGGAGAATTTTTGAAAGGGTGCGTTTAGAAGTAAAAATCATGCCAGCACTTGTCTTTCTTTTTCATTCTATATCTACACGCATTAAATGTTTTAAGACTATTCAAATTTGCAGCTAATATTTTGAGCAAAAGTAAAAAACTAAATAATTTTAAGAAAAACCTAGAAGCTAAACAAGATTTTTTTAGCCAAACCCAAATAAACAAAAATTTAAGTCTAGCCGGAAAATAACTTAAATGGCAACACTGTACATAAGTACACCCATTAGAGCCCATAAAAGCGTGAGTGTATAACTCATATATTAGCGTGAGTGCACACAAATATGTACATAAATACTTTTATTCTCTTTCTGTGCACGTAGTACATCTTTAGTCAAGTAGAAGCAGAAGTTCGTTATGGCACTCGCATTTGAGTGCAAGTGTGTTTATTTTTCTAGTGTATATTTTTTATTGTTTTCGATTATTATTGAATGTTTATCATCATAAAATAAATTTTTATTTTATTTTTATCTGCACTTGTTTCGAATTTCGTCGGTAGTCAAAATACATATTACACAGGGCAACACTGATTTTGATGCGGCAAATGTTAAAGCTGTTTTTGATAGACATTTTTGTCATGATTATCCGTAAGTATAAAATTTCCATCCCTGGAAATACCAGCCACGCAATAAACAATAAAAAAATACTGGAAAATTGAGCCAAAAGTCAGTTTTTGCTGTTCAATAAATTACCACAAGTGACCATAAGGGATGTTATTTTCAGGGATAGTAGTGGAGAGCTTTAGCTTTAATTTAATACTAAGTGAAAGGCGCTACTATTAGCTTCTCATATATTGCAAAAACACGAT